ATGTACTGCCAGGCCTTCATAGATGGACATTTAGTGAGTACCTACTGAGTGCCCACCAGAGAGGGTAGCTAGATATGAGCACAGAGTGGGCCTTCAAGTTCTGCCACACATTATGCCAAGTCCGAGCAACAGTGCCTCTGCCCAGTGGCAGGTAGCTAGTGCTAAGTACCAGGGCCCATGGTGGGCGGGGGATGTGGGGTGCACAGACAAAGGTTGGTACCGGTAGATTGCGTGGGGAGGGCAATGCTGGAGAGAAGTTTGGGGGCCATGGTGGGACAGAGCAGGGCCCCCTAATTCTGCCTTGAGTGGAGGGGAGGGGCAAGACAGGGAGCTTCCAAAAGGAAACATCTAAAATGAGACCTAAGGGATGGCCAGGAGAAATCTGTGGACGGAGAGGAGAGAATGGTGAATGTGAAGGCTTGCTAGTGACAAGCAGAGGGAGGAGAGCACCCTTCCGCTTCTGCCCTTGGAGGTCCTGGATCCCGAGCTGCCTCGGCAGCTGAGTCTGGGTGCCTTGGGGGAAGGGCGAGGCTGGCAGGGGCTAAATTATGCAGGACTTAAAAGCCATGTCAAGTCAAGTAATTTGGGCTTTTTCTGGAGGGAACCAGCACTAGGGGAAGAGTTGAAAGCTGGGCAGGGGCTGCTCAGACCTGCATATTTGGGGAGCCCCTGGGCCACGGGTGGAGAGTGCATAGCAGCAGGGAGAAGGCTAGGCAGTGTGGTCCAGACAAGGAATGGTGACACAGGATAAGGAAGTGTGAAGGATGGAGGGAAGGGGAAAGATTGGCCAGTGGTGGGAGAGTGGGGAGGGCAGCTACGGAGATAAGGGAGATCAAATGCTGCCCCAGGCATCTGGGTGGGCACATGAGGGAAGACAGGGTTTGAGGGCAAATGCCTAGGCCAAAAGGTCTCAGGGAGGCCTCCCAGATCAGGAGCTTTGAGGCTGCATAGCCCTGGACTCCACTCACCTGGGCTATGGCATCCTCTGTAGCGTGGGGATTGGAGATCTGCCTTGGGCTAAGAGAGTTCAGAATTCAAAAATTAAAACAATCTGTAAAATGTAATATTTAATAAAATTCAGATCCAAAAATGTATCAGTACACTCTAAAATGAGTTAAAATTTTAATTTATGAAAATGTTAAACATACATGATGATTCTAATATCAGTTGTAAGCCTAAACTGCTCGCCTCCACTGCAGATCCAGCTTCCTGGAAGCTGCTGCCCCTGGTCTGGCCGGACCCCTGGGGGCTCCAGGACCTTCTGGGCTTGTGTTCAGGGCACCTTCTTTGGGGAGCCTGCCCCTGGCTGGTGACTTCAGGTGGCAGGCATTTTGCTTTTCCTGTCCCCCACCCTGAGGGAGTTGTCCCCTGGAACTCCTCCGTCTATGGTTGCCTTTATTTGGGGGCCTAAGTACAGAACCAGGGGAGGGGGAAAGGAGAGGAATCACAGGAGCTGAGGGTAAGAAGGGCTGAGAGATGAGGTGCCCAGGAAGAGTGCGGAGGGCCAGGAGGCAGCGAGGGGACGTGAGCAAAGTGGATAGAACAGCAGCATCCTGCCAAAAATACCAACGTTTCATAATGTAAGACTTGAGCCGTTCCTCGAACACTGAAATGTTGAGGTTCCATCTTGCAATCTCAGAGGTGGGCATTGCCTGGCTTCTGCTCTCTTGATCTTGCACAAGGCAATTTTCTGGGCTTTATTTTCTCACCTATAAAAGGAGGAAGTTGGGGTCAATATCTACAAGGAGTGCATGAGCACTAGCTCTGGAGACATATGTCTCTGAGAATCCCGCTTTGTGGGTTTGTGGGGTTCTAGCCTTGCCAGGCTCTGAGCTCCCAGCCAGGGCTGTATGGATGCATGGTTGTGTAATTCTGACATTCTGTGGTTTTAAGTTGCTGAGACTTCAGGAGTGCAAGATGCAGACGTTCTGTGAATCCAGGATTCTAGGATATGATGATTTGATGATTCAATGATTCTAAATGGGGCTGCTGGGAAGAGCTGCAACCACCTGCCTTGTTAATGTCGATGTTCAGTTATTAAAAACATAACAAGAAGCAATGGAGACAGCTCAGGATGGCAGGTGGCCCCCACCCCAGTGAAGGAGGGGAGGAGGGGCTGGGCTGGCATTAGGGGAACAAGACACTCTCAACCTCGGTCACGTGAGCTGTTTCTCCTGCCACAACAGAATGTGTATGTGTGTGAGATCTGTGACTCCCTCAGCTTGCAGGGTAAAGGGTCATTTCCTTCATCCCCCTGCCTCTCAACCATTTCAGACTATGGCAGAGAAAAGAGTGCCCTTTCCTCCCAGCCCCTAAAGTCTCTGAGCAGAAAAGTCAGCAGTGGAGGAAGGAGAGGGCTGCTCACCGCCTTCTCTCCTGGCAGCCCCGGCCTGAGGGGAAAACAGGACATGAACACTTCCTGGACACATCCACGGAAACACACCAGCTCCTGCCTGTGAGGGCCCCAAGTACGAAGTGCCTCCGACTAGGGCAGAAGCCAGGGCAGCCAGAGGGAAGTGTAGGCATCGGCTGGTGACCCGTCAGCACCCGTTGAGTACAGGCCAAGGAGGGAGGGCCCTGCTTGGGCCTGGGGTGGTGGTTGTGAGAAGGGCCTATGGAAGGGGGAAAATCCCAGGCCAGGGGGCCTCGAGAGCTGGTGACCAGTGGGTGTTCCCCTGTGACAGAGGCCCGTGGCCTACCCTGGCACACGGCCAGCCCATTTGTCCAGATGCTTGCTGCCTCCTGGGTTATGCACATGCCTCAGCACTACACCAGGGTTGAGGAGGGAACATTCAGGCAGGAGAGAAGGACCTCAGTCCTCTGGAGAGCCTGCTAGGGCGGGTCGCTCAGCAGGCCAGTACTGCTGCCAGTCTAGTGGGTTCACAGAGCTGGTGACTGAGCCAGGGAGCTGGCCCAGGTCGCAGAGCATGAAACCCTGCTTCCTGATTGCCCCAGTCCTGGGGACTTCTCATTGCCTGCAGCTCTCCCCCTTCCCCTGGAACACCTGGGGAGCAAGAATGGGCACAGGACTCAGGTCAGGGGGGCACCCATCTTTCTCCTCTCGCCAGCCACTCCTGGCATCCCCAAGGCTCCATCATCTGCCACATCCTGCCTTGGCCCTGAGGGCAGGGTCTCGGGCACCTGCCCCTCCCACAGTGGCCTCCCTGGGGTTCTCCTTTCTCTTCATACAGCCATTCGTTTCTTCTTGCTAACCCATCCCTCACTCTCTCTGCTTCCCCTCGCCCCTGCCCCCTGAATTCCAGCAAGTCTCCATCTCTGGCTGGCTGTGTGAATCTCTCACAAAAGATTGTTAGACTTGGAAGGACTTTTAGCAGATCATCCAATCCAGCCCTATTATTCTTCAGATAAGGAGAGTAGCTCAGAGAGGGGACAGGCCTGTCCAGAGTGGCCCAGAAGGTTGTGGTTGTGGCAGAGCCTGAGTCACAGAAGTGCTCTGTTCTGCCATCAGACAGCCAGTGTTTGAGGACTGACTGTGTTAGGACCAACCCGACAGGCTTCTCTCCTCAGCCCCGACCTGTGCTCCTTTCCCCTCCTTTGCCCAGACCATTCTCTTCTCCATCACCATGCTTGCTGCCTGGCTGGCCCTGACCTCGGGGAGACCCTGCCCCGGGACATAGGCCAGAGCTCAGGACTCCGTGATTGGGATGTGCACCCATGCACGCACACACGCACAGGCCTATGCAGGTACATGCGTGAGTACATGCAGCACCCGGGTCAAAACCTGTATTGCATGCTTGGAGGCTGTCCTGGAACCTAGTGTCCTCTTCCTGTGAGGCCCCACACCCCTCCCCCAGGAAATCCCCCAGGACCTCTATGGAGACTGCCTCAGTCCCACTAGTGCCTTTGTGATAACTGAGTTCCCTGAGCCTAGGTTTGTCCTGTGTGACCCCAAGGGCAGGGCTGTGTCCCTCTAGCTCTGGGGCCCCTCCTTTAGTGTTCCCTCCTTCTGTCTCCAGGAGGGGCTCAGCTTCCTGTCTCTGGGTGGGGAGAACCATGTCCCCAGAAGACAGTGGGACAATGGGCAGGCAGTGACAGATGAGACGCTGTGTCTTCCTCAATGAAGGCTCCAACCCCCCACCCCCACCCCCCTGACCTCCCTGACCTCCTGGCTAGTGTCTGGGGCATAGCTCTGGCTTGTGGGTCCCTTAGGACTAGGGTCCTGGTCTGACCCCACACCTTGACCTCTCAGTGTAGAGGTCGGAGAATCAGAACCCCTGACCCCCAACAACAGTTCTCTCCCCGAGCTGTGGAGGCCGGGTCCCCAGGGTACCAGAAGCACCCTAAGAGGTGGTGCAGATACCTGGGGCCTGTGGCAGGGTGAGCGGGACTGTCTGGCTGGAGGGGAGGCAGGAGGCTGCGGTGGGATTCTGGAGGAGCTGCGAATGCCGAGCTGAGGCTCCCCTCACCCCGTTCACCTTCCTGTTCTTGAAGCCGGTGACAGGAAGCAGAGGGCACAGGGCAGGAGCCTCTCCAGGGAGTGGTAGAGAGGCCTGAGGGCAGCTGGAGGCTGAGTGAAACTAGCACTGCCTCCCCTCAGGGAGGAGAGGACACTTCTCAGGCAGCGCAGTGGGTGGACCAGCAGAGGCTGGCTGGGAAAGAAGGCTCAGGCTGTGGACAAAAGGGATGGGCCCTGGGGTCAGGTACTTATCTCGGCCCTTGTCATTTCCTCCGCCGGACATGGCTAGGTTAGCAGGGTCATCAAACAGGCTGGAACCAATGCATACCAGGCCCGACAGTAGGGTCAGGCACACGGCCAACTTGTCACACCCTGGGCTGCAGTCAGTCCCTCCTAGAGGCCCAGCCATGTGGCCACAGTCACCCTGGGAGAATGGCCACATCTACACCCTTGCCCGGCACACAGACCCAGTCATCTGGGACAGCAGTCAGGCCCAGCTGTGGACATGGCTGAGCAGGGAGACCCCATAGGACACACGGACATGTGGGATAATTAGACACCCTGTTACAGCCATGCCACAAGCATGCACATAGCAGGTGCAGGCATCCAGGTCCTGGGTGAGAAAAAGGGGCACCAGGCAGGGCACCCAGATTCCCCCATGCCAGACTGTGCCCTTCCCACAGCTCACTGGGCACCCGAGGCTGTTTATTTCCTAGCAGGAATGGGTATCTCATCCCTTTCCCCTTCCCTCTCCCTGTCCCCACCACTCGCTTCCGAAGCTGCCAAATCAAATCAGCCCCTGCACCCGCACCAGGCTGGCATAGTGGCCAGCAGCTGACTGGAACCAAGCCAGGCTCAGAATATCCCGCCGCCTGCGCCTGTCCAATGCCTGGGTGCGCTTGTTGGATGGGGGTGGGGAGGGGCAGCTGGCCCCTGGGCAGTGCCTCCCAAAGGGGCTGGGGTTTCTGGGCACCACCTGGGTGGTGCGCTTCTGGAGAGGTGAGCAGAGGAAGAAGTGTGTCTGCCAGAGCTCAAGGAGCTATAAAAGTGGTGCTGGTGGGATGTGGGGCAGGGGGGTCTTCCTGGAGCCCAGGTGACTGGGCACCAGGCTGGGGTTGGGGGTTCACACACATTCAGTCCAGATTCACAGCAACCCCAGCTGGGAGCCTAGCCTAATGATGTGTGAGCCAGACATTACAAATCCCGTTTTATAGAAGGGGAAACTGAGGCTTAGAGAGAGGTAGTGAAGTTCCCTGGAGAGAAGCAGAAGAGGAGGGGACCTCAAAAGGGATAAAAATGTGGCCGTTTCCACCCCTGAGGAAAGAAAGCTCTGCTAAGGGGCAGAGAATAAGCCAGAGGCAGAGGTGCCCATGGGAAACAGGGAGCAAGAAGGGAGAGTGGGAAAAGAGCAGGGTGCAATCTGGCAAGACTTCCTGGAGGAGGCCATCTGTGGAGGACATGGGGCCCCTGGGCTGCTGGAGGCTGGGTGGAGGGGCAGGCTGGGGAGAAGGGAAAAGGCCTGGCTAGCCTCTCACCCCCTGGCCTTCTTGTCTCTGCAGCCAGCCGGGACCTCCTTGCACAGAAGCCAGTGCCTGCAGGGAGTAAAGATGCCAGACTGGAGGTGAGAGCTCAGCGGAGGGAGGCGTGGGTGGGCTTGGGGGGTGGGGGCACAGGCTGGGGGTCAGTCTGAGCATTGCCCCCACCCCTGGGAGGACTGGGAGGCTGGAGCCGAATCTCAGCCCCACCCCCTCCAGCCTAGGGTCACCCCACACCAAGACCACTTCCCCCACCCTATTCTGGCTCTGGGTTCCCTCCGACTGAGGACTCTCCCATGCTCTCCCAAGTCACCCGAGGAACATTTGAGGCTCCTCTGTCATTCTCCCCACCCTCATCCAACAAGTCTCTGTTAATTCTCTGACCTGAGTAGTCCATGAACTCCTCTGCTCTCCGCTCCTGCTCCCTGCCCCAGCCCGTGACTGCTTGCTTCCAGTTGCCCCCTCCTCCATGTGGCTGCCAGACGTATCTTTCTAACACGCAAACCTGAACTTGTCACTTTTCTGCTCAAAGATTCTTTGTTCTACCCAGCCCCCTGCTCCCTCTGCAGCCCCACCAGGCTACACCCCTTCTTCCATTCCTGCCTCCCCATAAGTGCTCCTCCTGGCCTCTTCCCCCTTCAGCTCCCCAAATCCTTCTGGGCTCAGCTCTAGCCTCCTCTCCTCTGGGAAGCCCTCCCTGGCCCTCACGCCCCTTCCTCTGAGCTCTCCTGCCCTGGCAGTCAGACTCTGGGGCATTCTGCAGTCTGTACCATTAGCTCCCTGTTTACTCCATTATGTGACTCTGTGTGTCTTCCCCTCTGAACCTTGAGCTCCTTAGCCTGAGGACATGCCTTTTTCATTCCAAGTCTCCCACTGGCCTCCTTCGAAGGGGTGCCTGATGAGGGCTCAGTGAGTGCATTTCCTCTGAGATGAGGGGTGGCATCTCCAGCCCCTGACCAGGCCTTTGGGGTGTCTCATAGGAATCTTCAGTGCTCAGGGGGGCCTTGAGCAGTGGAAATGGGGTGGACTGTGGACTTGAACATTGGGTGAAATCGGACCGAACAGCAAGACCAGCGTGAGCCTTCCCTCCTGCCCAGGCCTAGCTGAGAGGAAGGGAGGCTGCCGCTGTGTCGGCCTCTCCTCTGTGCCTGAGCTTTAGATTCACTTTCCTTTAATACTCACAACCTGCCTTCGAAGCAGGGGCTGTTACTATCCTCCTTTTCATTCAGGGAAGCTGAGGTCCAGGGGAGTCACATAATGAGTTAAACAGGGACAGAGCTGAGAGTGAAGCCCAGATGCATCTCGGGCTCAATCCTCATTACCTCCCGACCCCATCTTGGGTAAGGCAGGAAAGAAGACGCCCCTACAGGGCCTGGTGTGCAGGGGGCTCAGCATGGGCTCCCTGCTGAGATGTGGGGCTGAGCCCTGAGAATGCCCCTGTAGTGGGGAACTGGGGAAGGAGGTGGCTGGGAAGTCATTATTAATTTATTTATGGCCATGGCATTCCCCACAGGGTGGGGGCTTCCCGCAGAGCTGGGACAGATGGTGTTCCTGGGAGCCAGCAGTGTCTCAGCAGTCGCTGCCACCTGCCAGGAGAGAGGGATTTGTCATCCTCCCAGGAAGCTGCTCGGGAAGAGGGCTCTGGGGAAGCTGAGACCCTCCTGGGCGATGGGAGCTGGGCCCTGAAGGAAGCAGCCAGATCCAGGCTGGTTGTGTGTGCCTCTGCGCACAGCCCTTGCCCAGGCCCTTAACCCTGCTCCCAGCGAGTCCAGGCTCCACCCCTCCTGCCCCTGCGGCCTCCCTGGACCGCCCCTGTTGCTCCCTTCGCTTGGTCCTCCCTCTGCCCTTCCTGGGACTCTGTGCTGCTGCCCCCTCCCTCCTCTGGAGGATCTTAGGTTATGAGCCCCTCAGCTCTTAGCTCTGTTCTGTCCCCCAACCCCACACCCACCCTGAAGATGACAAGGGTCTGCCTGGCCTCTTAGTAGAGCCTGCTCTATGTTTTGGGTTCAGTTAGCTCCCCATCCTGAGTGCCCAGGCCCACACTCAGCCCTGCCAGGGAGAGAGGGGTTGCCTCCCTTGGGGACTCTCCAATATAGAAAGGGCAGGACTGAGAGAGTAGGACCCTAAGGTGTTTCTCAGACTGTGGGGACAGCTAGAGGGAAAGAGAGAAGAGGGGTAAGGGAACTGATGAGGATTCCCCTGTCAGGGTGGAGGCTGGGGAGACAAGATGGCCTCACCTAGTAGATAGACCATGGCGGGGAAGGACATGAGTTCAAGTACCTGCTTCACCACGTCCTAGCTGTGTGACCTTGAACCAGTCACTTACAGCCTGAGCATCAGTTTCCTTGCCTGCCACAGGGGGATAAGAAGCTCCATCACATTGGACTTAATGGCAGTAGAGCTGCTAGGAGAAATATGGATACAATGTGCGTGAGGTGTCTGGACCAGGCCTGCCCTCAGCAGGTCCTTGGAGGGAGTCGGCCCCCTCCCTGCTTCCCTCAAGGCTGAGATCCTGGGAGCAGGACTGGGCTGTGGCCGTGTGAGGCAGGGTGAGCCGCAGGGCTGGGTTGGCATTCGCAGGGGTTGTGTGGGCACAGCGTGTCCTCCTGGCACTGGAAGCATGACAGCCAGCACTCATCCTCACCGAGCAGGCACCTGGGATGGCTCCCTGGACTCTATGCCAGCGTCCAGCATGGGTGGCTCTCAGAAGCCGACCACATGGACCTCTCTGACTCTCCAGCTGATCTCTGGCCTCATCAGTCAGTGGCCTTGACCCTTCCCATCCTTCAAAGTTCCTAGGCTGCCTCCTCCAGGAAGTTCCCAAGACTTCCCCCAATCCAGCTGGCTCTCAGGGCCCAGGCCAAGGCTGGTGGGCAAGGGCACAGACATCCACACTAGGCACCCAGTGTGCTGTCCAGCACTGGCTCCTCTATTGCTGCCTATAGGATAAGTAACGGCCACACTCTTGGCATGTCATTACCAGCCCCTCATGTCTACTCCTTGTCCCCAGGCATAGCAGTGCTCACTGCCCAGGATACTGGCCCTCCCTGGACTCCCTGCCCTTGCTTGCCCTAACCTGTCTCTCTGGAGTACCTTTCCCTTTTTCTGCACCTACCCCTTTCCAAGCCCTAGATTAGATGTCACCTCCTCTGTGAAGTCCTCTCAGACTGTTCCCTCTACATTGGGTCAAGTTAGTCTCCCTTATTTCCTGGGCCCTCATAGCCTCCAAGCTTCCCCGAGCTCTCGGTGGGTAACTTGTTACCCCATGTGGTTATATATCCTTTCCTTGTAGTTGTAAACACTTGAGGGTGGGAACCAAGGCTGAATCTCATTTGTTTCTCATGGGCTCATGTGGGTCCTGCTTAGGCCTGGTATATAGTAGGTGCTCAATAAATGCTTCTTGATTGAATGAGAATGGCTGTTAAAGGGCTGGAGTAGTTCTAAGAAGGGAATAGTTGCCGGATTGGGGGAAGTTTTGGGAACTTCCTGGAGGAGGCAGCCTTGGAACTTTGAAGGATGGAAAGGGTCAAGGCCACTGATTGATGAGGCCAGAGATCAGCTGGAGAGTCAGAGAGGTCCATGTGGTTGGCTTCTGAGAGAACCACCTGAGGGCCACAAAGCCCAGTACAGGACGGGGCAAGAGCATGTGGAGGGCCTGAACAGAGCTCAGAGGCCGCTGTAGGAGGCAGGCTCAGTGCTGAGAGCCTGGCTCCAAAACATCTGCCCCCAGATCCTGGGCTGAGGAACACTTGGTCTCAGAGTCTGGGGTGAGGCTGAGGCTGCCAGTGGTGAATACATGGGCCCAGCATGGTGGGACAGCGACAGTCGGGGGCAGGAGCCAGGGTGGTCCTGTGAGGTAGGATTGCCGTGGGGTTGAGAAAGGTTTGCGTGCGGAAGGAGCAGCTTGTGCATGGGATGTAAGCAGGACGTCCCCAGTCCTAACACTCCAGTGGAACCCAGATTACTGGTCAGGGAGCATCAGGGTGAGTCTAGAAGGGCGGCTGCAGGAAGCACTTTCCAGGTCTGCATTTAAAATTCTTGAGCGAGTGCTCCTAACTGGCAGGTGTGTCAGCCTCCTCCTGGGTTCTGCACATCAGGAGCACATGGCCCCGATGATGCCCCACGGCCCTGAGGGAGCTGCTGCCAACAAGATGGCCACAGCATCTGGCATCCGTGGGGCCCTGAGGCCCTGCCATCTGTCTGCCCACCTGTCGGGCTGCACAGGCCCAGGGCATAAAGAGACTTGAGGCCAGGGAAGCAGTCTCAGCTGCCACTCTAGCTTGTCTCTCTGTCTGTTCATCCATCTGTCCACACCCATGCCTGACCAAGGACAACGTGGAGACGGGCACATACAGGTCATGCCTTCAGAGAAGCCTAGTCGGAAGTGGAAGGCATCAAACACCCAGAGAAGACACAAGCTGAGAGGGGGTAGGCCCAGGGAGGTCCTGCCCCTTGAGGGCTTGGACTGAGGCTCAGAAAGAGGCAGAGACTGGCTCAGAGGCGCACAACAGGTCTGAGGCAGGGCTAGGCTAGATGCTGTGGGCCCCCGGACAAAGTTCCTCAGGCTGGCCCCTCCCCCACCACCTTGTCTGGTCCTTGGCTGTAAACACAGGGAGAACAAGTTCCGTTTCCCGGGAAATATTTATCTCAGACCGTGTGGGGATCGTGCGCTGGCCTCCGCATGTCCTTCCTGCGGGCTGGCTTGGGGCAGGAGGTGAGCGCTCAGCAGCTGTGAGGGGCAATCTGTGGGGCCCCAAGGCAGGGTCAGGAAGGGCGTGCCCCGAGGCTGCTGCTTGGTGCTCAGTGTGAACGCTGGCTGGTCCGGGTGACAGGAGGAAGCTAATAGGAGCAGACCTGTTTTTCTCCAAATCCCACAACATAGCCTGCCTGCCTCCTGTTCCTGTCATCAGTCTGTCAGCCCTGTCTGCTCTGGGTTCCTGCCTCCAGGCCTTTGCTCCTGTCTGGTGCTCCCACTGGGCTGCCTTTCTTCCTCTTCCATGGATTTCCCAACCCTCAGCTGCTTTCCTCTGCAAAACTTTCCCTAACTCCCTAACTCCCTAACCCTTTGTCCTCCCCTTCCACCATC